TCCTGTGTCGGGTCCTCGAGGACCCGACATGTCAGTCTGCCCTATGGCGGTTTAGGCGGCCGCGAGGCCCCACACAGCGCGAGGCCTTAGGCGGCCGCCTAAACCGTCCAATTAGAGAGCCGCCTCTGTGCTCACTACAGAAAAGCTCACTGACACATGCGTAGTAAAAACAAGCTTATTGACAGACACACATGCTTACTACAGACAAGCTTACTGACACACAAGCTCACTACAGACAAGCTCACTGGCACACAAACACATGCTTACTACAGACAAGCTTACTGACACGTACACAAGTTCACTACAGACAAGCTCACTGGCACACAAACACATGCTTACTACAGACAAGCTCACTGACACACATGCATAGTACAACAAAGCTCACTGACACACACACACACATGCTTACTACAGAAAAGTTCACTAACACATACAAGCTCACTTACAGATAAGCTATCTGATGCACACAAACAAGTTCACTGACATAAACACATAGAAGATAACTCACTAGCAGGCACATGCGCACACACAATATGCTTGTCATGGGTTGAAGCTTACCTGTCTGTGGGCGGACTGTAAGGTGAATTTGCCATTTTCTGGCCCTTTTCCTCAGCAGCTTGCGTGTGGGGGCAGATCTTACACATGGGAGGCGGCACTTGAGTGCAGGGCTGTGTTGGGGCATTAGAGGCCCAGATTGCTAAGTATTGAGAAGGGAAACTCACAGTGGTCCCTCCAGCCGCAGCAGCCCCCAACACCTGGCCTATAATTCCCTCGGACTGACACAGGCTGTCAGCTGATTGATTAGGGCTGTCAGCCTGGCCCCAGGTGTGGCAGCACACCGGGACATGTCCAGGTACCCCAGTGGGCCAGTCTGGCCCTGCACACCGGCTTGCTTTTACAGGTAGCAACACACCTGTCTTCTGGTAGGTAAACTCAAAGAAGAGGAGAGACAGAACAGATTGTAAACCCAACTTGGGTTTAGAGAAAGTGCAGGATGTGCTCACCTTAATAAGAGCCCAATGGTCCCTGGCTCTAAGAATATAAGCTTGGTGTTACTTGTGGGTTGACATTACCCACATCTGTATACCAGCAGATGTACATGCTGAATACTGCTGCAATTTACTGTAAAGATGTTATACTGTAAAGTATATACAATTTTTTTTTGATACTCTTGTAAATTCAAACAATAAAGGTGGGGGCTGGGTCTGACGCATACGCTTGTCACTGCAGCTCCTGCATTTCATAACAAATATTGCTGATTATTGGCATATTGAAGCTATAAATCAACATATATTGGCTGTTAAGCAAGAGAGGATAACCTGATGCCCATGCCGACACCAAATATGCAGACTTTTCTGCTGAATTTACCCAATGGGATTTTGTGGCCTACTAGTATGACTGGCGTGGGGCAGACGGCTGCTTTTCTACGGCCTCAAATGGGCCAGGGGCTGCTGTGGAAGTCTACCAAGCTAGGGACTATACATCTGCCCCATACTCACCCTTTATCTTTCAAGATGGCAAAGGTGAGTGGCTGCTACTGGGGAAGAATCCATAGTAAGGCCTTAACTCTTCCTTTCCCGGACAAATCAAATTTAAAAACATAAAGGTGCAGTAACAAAAATGCATTTTTCCATGAATACTGGCTTCTTCAGTAAGCAGAAAATAGCCTGCTTTACAGTCCTGGTTTTAAATTGTTACATCCAATCAGAAAGGAGTTAAGTTATCCTGCCCCTAATTTTAACTTCAGTGACATATTTCTGCTTCTGTGTGCAGTTGGGAATAGTCCTTAAGGGTATTAAAGAGTACTATGGGTAATTAGTAGTATACCGAGTAGCAGGAAGTGACTTTGCGGGCATCCCTATAAATCACTTCTGGTTTTGTTGGTTGTATACCAGAGATCCACTCTGTTCAGTCTCTTATCTTAGATCAATTTTTGAGGCACAATCCTCCATGTTAGATAGGTAATGGTGTATAATAACATTGTACAAAGTAAGGAAATGGGAATAAAAGGGAAAGAAAACAATCTTTATTAATATGAACACAAAGGCAGAAAAGAACAAAGGGCAGAGGAGATATGTACTGGTGTAATGTTTTACCATTGTTCTAAATTTGTGATATCCAGTCCTCTCTGATTTTAAGGGTTGATTAGCAAGACATATGACATACTTGGACACGCTCACCAAATGTGCATAAATGATCCTTTACTCATATTACATCTCCAACATAAATCTGTACTTTGTGGATATATTTCCTTTAATTTTGTGGGTACAATGTATCATTGATTCATTACCTTGAATACATTTTCTTGCAAGTTTATGCAATTAATATATCTGTTAGTAATATTCAGGGCAGGATACCACATTTCTAAAGAGATATCGATAATTTAATCATCTTTCCATTTTT